AACAACTGAGTCTACAGGGAAAATTCTCATTCAAACTACCATACACAAGCATTTTATCACAGTAATGAAAAGCTAACACCCTCAGTTTTGTGTTGTGTATAAAACTGAATTTCTGGAAGAGTATACATTTCACCATTTTTATATCCTTAAACTTTAAAAGAATGCATACCACATAGATCTGAAAGATTAACCAATTCACTTCGATAGTGCACACAAAACTAGCATTACCACTTTCAGCAAGAAATTTTGATCTTCAGCATACTCAGAGATCAAGTGGGATCACCACTAAGATTGAAAGACTGCTTCCATGTGCTTCAAGAATAAACTGGGGTGTGTGGCTTCCCTACCAACAGTGGATGGGCCACAGAAAGTCCTCAGCCACCATTGCAGGATCAGGCTGAGGTTCTTCTGGAGCAGCTAAAGATAAAACAGAAGAAGAGGAGAAGCTAAGAAGATTCTACATTGGCCTGCCATCTGAAGTTGTCGATATGGTGGCAAGTCAAAGAAAGACTACAAAAAGTTGGGTGAAAATAACACCATGAGTTTGCTCATCAGTTTGGAAAAAATCTGGCACAGTGGACATAGCCAAAGAAATTCTAAACACTTGCACCCTGCTGTTCCCTCTCCCCATCTTACTAAAAGTAAAGCCATGGGTACAGGATGAATGCTGGAGTATACAATGTTGGGTAGTTACCTCCTCTGAATTGGAGCATTCCTCTCTGAAGGATGAGGCTTACAAGATTTAAGAGGCTATAAAAACAAAACTTAATAAGTTACAGGATTCACAAGGCCCCAAGGTTATAAAAGTAGTAAATGGCTGTTGGGAGGAGGCTCTCTGGTGGTGTCATCGGTAAGTTGGGCAAGGAGCTTCAGGGATGCAACTTTCAAGAGTCATCACCCATGTCATGGTTGGCTTTTTGGTGATGCACTCTGCCTTTGAGTCACTCAGGCTCCTGTAAGTAACCCCAATAAACTCTTTGGTTCACCAAAGTAGACTTGGGTGGAATTATTCTTTTGTAGGTTGCTGGTTCCCTATCTGGGGTAAATAGACATTTGTTCAAACCCCTCTAGGAAGTCACACACCATAGAAGAAAACTAGTTAGATGATGTGTTTATTTGTGAAACTTTCTACAGTCCCCAAGTTGCAGTAGCTGTTGTCTGGCCAGCTGTTAGGTCATATAGCATTGTTCACCATGGCCACTCAACACAGCTCATAGAAATCATTTTTTAATCAAAACACTTTTGATAGCTTTTATAAAATATTGTTTTATTTACATACTGAGATAAAATATCTTTTACTACTTCCACTTTGCACTAATTTTTAGCTATAAAGTTGACAAATAGATTTTTATTGTCCCTTTCTCTTATTATTTGGCTTACAAATGTCATTTTAAGTGTCAGAAATTTTCCTTTATTAGGAACAATGTATCACAATGCAATATTTAAAAATAGTTAAATTTCTGTTGATTCTGTTGTATTTTCTTTTTTATGTATGTAGAACAAGCTGACCTGGAATGCACAAAGATCCATCTGCCTCTCTTCATGAATGCAGGGATTAAGTGTCTGTCACCATTCCTACCTTTTTTTTTTTTTTTAAAAAAAAGCCTTCTAACTACAAATATGTGATAACCACACTGTCTCCTATTCTACCTTCGTGTGATAGTGGCATTTTAGCGTGTTAATTCTATACTATTTTCAAGGACTTAGTAGTGGAATATCTGGAAAATTCTTAATTTGCTAATGGCATGTATACCGATCTATTCATTGCTTCAATAGACTGATTTATATCTCTATAAACTCTATAGATTCCTAATGCACTTATCATAAATAATAGCCCAGGGACATGTAGCTAAAGGAATTCGGTAGATATGGACTATTCTGCCAGCAGATACTATTAGTTTATTTGCCAGTGAGTCTGTATTATTATATTTATTTATAAAATCCCATTCTGGTTTGCTGTCTTATGAGTATTCCCTTATGAAGGAAAAGTGGACAACATATTTTCTGCTGAACATATCTCTTACTGTCATTCACTGACAGATGAAAAACAATATTTTATTTCTTTTCATTTATATTTTGAGCGTTGTACATTTATTCACATTTTTACAATTGATTTTCATTCCATTTTTTACATCATAGGAAACAATAGCAAAAAAAAATTGAAAGCTGAAAAATAAATCAAATAGCAGTTAGCTTAGCAGATGTGAGAGACAGAAACCCTAAGCAGGCCATGAAACAACCTGATCTGTCTCCTAGATCAATGCTTTAACTGGAGATTAAGTACAAAAGCCACAGATCTAATAGTCCCTTATAAGGCAGTCTTGGCTGCCTATCCCAATATGATAGACAGGTAAAAAGCAGAGAGGACATTTAATCAATGTTTTGATAAAAAAAAAGCAATGTGCTTCAGTGACTCCAAGTTTGTCTTCAGAGTACTGTCCGAACTTTAAGCTTAAACAGAGGATGAATTGGAAGTGAGATGCACAATTAAAACCATTCACTTGATTTCTTACTCTAGTGCAATGACTAGTCTTATGACAACTTGACACTAGCTGGAGTTACCTGAAAGGAAGTTCCAGAACCTCAATTGATAAAATGCCTCCATAAGAACCAACCATAAGGCATTTTCTTAATTAGTGATTGATCAGGAAGGGCCCAGCCTATTGTGGGTGGTGCCATCCTTGGGCTGGTGGTCTTGGGTTCTATAAGAAAGCAGGCTGAGAGAACTATGAGAAGCAAGTCAATAAGCAGTCTCCATCAGCTCCTGACTCCAGGCTTCTGGCCTGTTTGAGTTCCTGTCCTGACTTTCTTCAGTGATGAACAGTGCTGTGGAAGTGTGAGCCGAATAAACCCTTTCTTCCCTCAAGTTGCTTTGGTCATGTTGTTCTGTCACAGCAACAGACACCCTAAGACACCTGGTCAAAGGGTGGTTCAGTTGGTACTTTTCTGTTCTAATTCTGAAGTGTGGATGGTGGTCTAAAGAAGTTACTGCTGGAAGGGACAAATTGATTTTCAGATTACTTCTAACCCAGACACAACTTTACTTCCATGGGTTAATTATCATATTGGAGTAGTCTGTCCTGAAAGCTTACACTGCACTAGGAATGCAAGGTGACAAGGTTCAGGACAACGACTTGACCTTGTGTGTCTAAACTTGAAACAGGATGAGAGAGTCTAGGGCAGTGGTTCTCAACCTTCCTAGTGTTGCAACTCTTAAATGCAGTTCCTCACGTTGTGGTGACCCCCCAACCAATTATTTCATTGCTGCTTCATAACTGCAATTTTGGTTCTGTTATGAATCATAATGTAAATATCTGTTTTCTGATGGTCTTAGGTGACCCCTCTGAAAGGACTGTTTGACTCCCGAAAGGGATGTGACCCACAGGTTGAGAACTGGTGGTCTAGGTGAAAGACACTACTTGAGTGATTAACATGTGTATGCACAGTCAAGCAGGATTCTAAGCCAAAGTAAACAGACACAAAATGAAGGCAGCAATGCCAGGTTTTCACATCTGTGGGCCCAAGCAAGGAATTAGTGACCAGTGACTTTTAATGAAAGCAGTTTCTAAGTTCTTATTACAGAACTATTTAAAATGGTCCTTGCTTACTCCTTGGTATATGTGACTGAGGTGGTTTGAGTAAGAATGGCCCCCATAGGCTCACAGATTTGAATGCTTGGTCATTAGGTAGCTGCACTACTCCACAGGGATTAAGTATGGCCATGTTGGAGGAAATGTGTCACTGGGGGTGGGTTTTGGAGTTTCAAATACTCAAGCTAGGCCCAGTCTTTCTCTCTGTCTGCTGCCTGCAGATAACTCTCAGCTCCTCTCCAGCACCATGTCTGCCTGCATGCCACCATGCTGATAATGGACCAAACCTCTGAAACTGTAAGCCAGCCCCAATTAAGTAATTTCCTTTATAAAAGTTGCTGTGGTCATGGTGTCTCTTCACAGCAACAGAACTAAGACATGACTCACAGTGACCATAAAAATCACATTTTTTAAGTATTCACAAATGTGATAGTCCAAGGTACTTTTTCACATTATTAAAAAGTGAAAGCATGTAATTCCTGGTCCAAAAGCCATCAAAATAATTAGCAAAATTAAAGCATTATGACTAAAAATGAAGAAAAATAATAGATGATCTACTAAAGCTAAAAAGTGACATGTCTATTGCAGTTTTATGATCATATTTTCTTACACTGTCAACAGACAAGGGCTGTAACTGGCTCAAGAAATAAAAAGGAAGTCCCACATAGCAAATATACAGGTAAAAGATCAACTAAAGAGGCGGGAGATGGCTCAGTGGGTAAAGTACTCATTGTTCTTGCAGAGAAGCTAGGTTCAATCCCCAGCATCCACACGGCAGTTTGCAACAGTCTGTAAATCCCATCCAAAGTCCTCATCTGACCTTCAAGAGCACCGGGCACAGAAGTCCATATATGCTTGTAGACAAAACACTAATAAATCTTTAAAAAGCATCAAATGAAGAGAAAAAGCTTCTGGGCCATCTACGGACTCTGTGATAGTCTCACCATCATGCCCTGACAGATACTCGGACTAAGCTACTCCATTCTGGGTAGGACATTTCAGTCCAAGCCAACCAAGCTGTGTAGGACTGGACTCACAAGTAGTGGTGTCTCTCCGGGAATTTTCCTCCTCCTGTTTGTTCTCTTGCTCCTGAACACGCTTTCTTATTTTTGTCTTTATGAAATACCTGACAACATGTTTCCCCACAGTTAAGACAGTAGCAACGAACGACTCATTGCTATTAAGTTTAAAAGACATGTGTGTGTGGGGGGGGAATGAAATACAAAATCCAAAATACAAACGTTTTTGGACTAAGTCTAGCGACATCAGATTTGCAAGGTTAAATATATATGCCAAGCAGAGGAAGGAAAGGAGTTGGTAGGATGGCAGTGCGAGGGTTATTTCCCACTAAATCCGGTGTCTGGATCCTGCTATTTTAGGCTACAACTAAAGGAAATGAAACTGACTAACCCTTAGCAACGATCCTCAAGCCTGACTAGTTTTGTAAACGGCATCAAACAGCTCTTCCATCAGAAAACGCCTTAGGCATTTCCAGAAGGCAGGCAAAGCAGCAACTTCTAACCGACCAACATCTCAGTCATCCCTTCAGCGTCCCGCTCTGAGCGACCTCTCCTCAACGTTCCCTACTCATCCCACGCACGATCCACGTGCTCCTCCATTGGATCTGAACGTCACCTCCACTGGGTTTCTCCCAGGTTAAACAAGGGCCGGAGTGATCGACCAGCTCGGTGTCTCCGCTGCTTGAGCTCGTCCCGTCCGCCCGGCAACAAGAAACGGAGCGCCGAGAGGCTCGATCTCCGATGCCTGGACCCGCCCCCATGAACCCTCTCCAGGCCTCGGAGTGCCGAGCGGCTCGATCCCCGAGGTCTGAGCCCGCCCCCTCCGCCCAGCGCCAGGCTGCTGAGCGCCGAGTCGCTCGATGCGCGGGGGCGCTGCAGCATCACGGAGCGGGGCCGGGTCTGCGCCCTCGGTCTTCCCCCTCCCACCCTCCTTCCTCAGCTTCCCGCTCCCTCCCCCGCCCGCCCTGCGCAGCCAGCAGGGATTGCTGCCCGGAGCTCCTCCGG